GAAGGGAGAACAAGACATTAAAAAAAAGCACGTACTGAAGCAAACTCTTAGCTAAGATTCACATTGAAGTGGAAAAAGAAAAATCCAATGACCAATTAAAAGTATAGTACAAAATACACCCAAATGATTTGTCTGTGTTAAATATAGAGGATAATTCCATTAAGTATAAAATTGCCTACCATACAGCTTAGTCAATATTGTTTGTTACAGTAAAGTCTTACATGAAGATTTCATGACTTATTATCTTTGATAATCATCAATTGGAAGTTCAAATTTCTTAAATAAAAAACCCAAAGGTTCTCTGTTTCAATTGGAATCACAATATTCTTAACAGGTTGATATGAGAAACTACTTTGTAGGCAGAAAGACTTCTGGCCACAACTTTTCACTCCAATCTGGCTAATGAAAGAGGAATTAACACTGCAAATATTACATCCCTGTTCAAATAAGGATGAAAAGCAACAGAAGCACATGGTATTAACATGATGTTGTAACCTTGGTACATAATTGGCTGAAGGACTGGAAGAGAGAATCATCATCATGACAGTTGATTTGACAAACAGTGTTATTCTCCAGGAAAAGAGGATTAAGAATCTTGCTTTCATTAAAAAAAAAAAATTGAATTGGGTACAGGGGGCATAGGTTTGCAGTTTGTAGATGACATGAAATGCAGCAACATGGTAAATATTGAAGAGGAACAGATGAAACAGGCATGCCAGATGCAATTTAACTCTAGGCACAATAGATTTTGGGAGAAAAATAGCAGTAAAATCTAAATTAGTGTCAGAAGTGGTTCAGTTAGTACTACTCTTGCCGGAGTCAAATTCCACCCCAGAGACATGACCACAAAAATCAAAAGATGATGGCCCAGTGCATTACACAGGATCCCGTGGGATTATTGAAAAGGGCAAGGGAATTTCAAGGCAATTAGACGTCTATCTGAAGAAAGCTAACTTGTAGGGTTATTGAGAATAACTGGGGTTTGAGATTAGACTGGAAAACTCTTTCTGGGACAAATAACCTAATTCTGTGCTATAAAATTCTATGATTAGAAAAAGAGAACTTTTAAAAGAAAATGCATTTAACAGCCTCTTTAAATCCCAAAAGTACTCCCTTTGGGATTTACAAAGTCAATAGAGTGTGGAACTGGAGGAACATAGCAGGTCAGGCAGCATCAGAGGAGCAGGAAAGTAGACATTTCAGGT